CTCACAAAACTGTTTCAGTGTAGCAATATTCTTGGGATGTCTGGTGTGAATCGCTCTCTTAAGGTCATGCCACAACATTTCAATCGGGTTGAGGTCAGGACTCTGACTGGGCCACTCCAGAAGGCGTATTCTGTGCTATTGAAGCCATTGTTTTGTTGAATTACTTGTATGCTTTGGGTCATTGTCCTGTTGCATCACCCATCCTCTGCGGAGCTTCAGTTGGCGGACAGATGGTCTTACGTTTTCCTGCAAAATGTCTTGATAAACTCTGGAATTCATTTTCCCATCAATGACAACAATCCGTCCAGGCCCTGAGGCAGCAAAGCAGCCCCAAACCATGATGCTCCCTCCGCCATGTTTTACAGTGGGGATGAAGTTTTGATGTTGGTGTGCTGTGCCTTTTTTCTCCACACATAGTGTTGTGTGTTTTTTCCCAAACAACTCAATTTTGGTTTCATCTGTCCAAAGTATATTTTTCCAGTAGTGCTGTGGAACATCCAGGTTCTCTTTTGCAAACTTCAAATGTGCTGCAATATTTTTTTGGGACAGCAATGGCTTCCTCCTTGGTGTCCTCCCATGTACTCCATTCTTGTTTAATGTTTTCCTTATTGTAGATGTGTCAACAAAAATGTTAGCATGAGCCAGAGATTTCTGTAGGTTTTTAGCTGACACTCTAGGATTCTTCTTTACCTCAAGAAGCATTCTGTGCTGTGCTCTTGCAGTCATTTTTACAGGACGACCACGCCTAGGGAGAGTAGCAATAGTGCTAAACTTTCTCCATTTGTAGACAGTCTGTCTTACCGTGGACACATGAACATCAAGGCTTTTGGAGATACTTTTGTAACCCTTTCCAGCTTCATGCAAGTCAACAATTCTTGATCGTAGGTCTGAGAGCTCTTTTCTGCGAGAAATGGTTCACATCAGACAGTGCTTCTTGAAACCAGTAAACCCATAAGGGCAGGACAGCTGTCAGCAACACATCCAATATCATCACACTGATTGGAGTCAAGGTTGGCTCACTCCTAGCTCCAATTAGCTCTTGAAGACGTCATTAGGCTAGGGGCTCACATACTTTTTCCTCCCTGCACCGTGAATGTTTACATGTTATGTTCAATTAAACCATTGCAACATGTAATGTTTGTGTATTATTATTTTCAGCAGACTGTGTTTTTCTATCGTCGTGACTTAGATGATGTTCAGAGCACATTTTATGACCAATTCATGCAAAACTCCGCATTATCCCAAGGGGTTCACATACTTTTTCTTGCAACTGTACATTTAAATTATTGAAACATGAAATAAAAAGGGCAAACTTTAACACAAAATTTCAATTTTTCTGCACAAATTACAGGCAACTATCAGCTTCTTTAGCTGTACTAGAAGAGCTCCTTTACAATGTATGTGTCTCATTTGGTGATCTCCTTTTATATATAATTAATGGGTTAGTAGGTGTGTGGATCATAGTTGTATAATTTATGGCAGGAAAGTATCCATTCACTAAGTCAAATTCATATAAACGCAAAAGAGTTGACCAAATTGTCTTAATCTGAATATATGCAAAGTTCTCTCCAATGCAGCGATGACGACCTAAAAAGAAAAAAGCACATTGAGTTTCCATTATTAAACATTGTTTCCATTTAGCCTACTTTGAAAACATAGAATTTTAATTACTTATAAATAAAATACAAACAGAAAACTATTCATGCACTCACATCCACTCCCATGAATGATTTTTGAAGGAGCAATGTACCAAAAAGAAGGTGCAGCTTCTGCCTCAAAGATTCTAGAAAAAGTATGTGAAATTCATGGGTGGAGAGCATACACTTGTCTTCTATACAGGTAGTCCTCGATTTATGAACACAACTGAGCTCAAAATTTCGGTTGCTAAGCAGGACATTTGCTATGTTAGTTTTGCCCTCTTTTATAACCTTTCTTGCTACAGTTGTTAAGTGTCAAAAGATGATCACATGATTCTGGGATACTGCGACCATTATAAATATGAGTCATTTGCCAAACATCTGAATTTTGATCTTGTGAGGGGATGCTGCAATGGTCATAAGTGTGAAAAACACTTTCAGTGTCGTTGTAACTTCAAACAGTCACTAAATAAACTGTTGTAGGTCGAAGACTACTTGTATATGCATTCTGATGTTATAATAAGGTTAAAAAAAACAACCTCCTCTTCTCTACAGAATGAATATTAATCCTTTTTATAATCCCAGAAAAGAATTCCTCTTTTTCTTTCCAGTTATTGCTTTCTCATATTGCATCCCTATCTAATGTTCTCCCTTCCCAGGATAGCCTTCTCCAGATGCTTTTTTTTTTGCATTGTTATTGGAGGGAATATGCAGAAATCAGTTTTATAAATAAAACAACTTACTCAATAGGCATCTAATTCAATTTAATCTTGATTTTTTTTCTCACCCTGAACCTTTTGGGAGTAACTTTAGGCCAGTGAGTGTGAATAAATATGTGTCCGTGTATGTGGGTGCAAGGAAACACAGGCTTATTGGGAATGAGGGAAATCTCCAGGATTGGTTCTGGTTGTTATGAGTTGCACAGCCAGTTGAAACTAATTAGACTGGAAAGCCGCCTCTCCTTCCTACTCTCTATTTAACTAAGCCAACTACTGGAAGTATTTACATCACTGAGTTCAACAGAACTTTTTTTAAATAGCACTGTTTGAATTTGTAAAGAAAATTTAAATACTTGACACTTTAGTACTAATGACTATACTTTGGACATGGTAATTTTTTTTCCTAACAATGAATGTTCTGCCCAACCGCTCCAGTTTATGGGTAGTTCAAATCATGGCTTGTTTTGCTCCTCTTGGGGTGGGCTGGGGGGAATAATACTACCTAATTCTAGACAGCTCCAAGGATACATTGCAAGCAACCATTCATAGCGATAAAATTGGAAAATTGGACATATAGGGATGTAATAAATAAACTTACCAGCACCAAATGGCACAAATGCAAACTTTTCTGCAGCTGCAGGATTATCTTGAAGGTACCGGTCTGGTTTGAATTTTACATTTTCCACCCAACAATCTTTAATTGTGTGATTAATAGTAGGAGATACACAAACCTGATGACCTGGTGGAATTGTATAACCAGCAATAGTCTAAACACAAAAGAGAATATAAAAGTAAAGTTTATTGATGCCTAAATTACTAAGGAGATACATTAGGAGTTGTGATTCAGTCACACCAACTATCAATAGACACATAGAGATAGACTACATTCATACACCATTCCAAAGAGACAATAAAAAAGCTAAGGAAACAAACAAAAAACAATTCATCCTCTCCAGTAATCAACACTCAGATAAGCAGGATTAAGACCTGACAAACAATTAAATAGAAAAACAACAGCCTAATCAAGGAACTACCAAAGAGAAATGCACAACCACCAATACTGGAAGGGCAAACTACTACGGTATATATAAACCTCACACTTTTGCACTGATAACGTTACCTAGTTCAGTATTGCAACAAAACTTACTTGGGGAGTTTTAGCCATCCTCATCATGGTCATTATAGGTGGTCTAAGCCTTAATGTTTCTTTCAAGCAACGATCCAATAAATTCAAATCCTTGAGCTAAAAAAAAAGTTTATTTACAATTTTTTATATTCAGAAAGGTTTCTAAATGTATATAATTATAGGCTATAATTTCATGTACTTGTAGTTGATATTGCAAATAGATTTATTGAGCCAAACAGCTTTGATACAAGTATGAAGATAATACATACTAATGAGTTAAAATTACATTTAGAAGAATTTACTCACAAGCAAAGAAATAGAAATAAGTTGTTAGTATTGATAGTAATATACAAAACTAGATACACATATTTTGTACATATTTACTGCAAATCTACAGATGAAAGAAAGAAAAAGAAAAAGAAAGAAAAAAGAAAGAAAAGAAAGAAAGAAAGAAAGAAAGAAAGAAAGAAAGAAAGAAAGAAAGAAAGAAAGAAAGAAAGAAAAAGAAAAGAAAGAAAGCACTGGACACCCATTTTCAGGCTAAAAGTATAAATGATCACCTGCAAAGCAAAAGTACTTTCAGAAACTGTGTCATACAGAATGTCATGGTTCCGACAGATGAAACTCTTCAAAAGAACTTCGAGGCATTGTTTACCTTAAAGAATCTTTTATTCTAGTATCGGCACTACATAGTTAAAGCCAAAAACTGAATTCCCCTCCCCCGGGCACAAAGTAGCAAAGTACAATTCCCTCCTCCAATTAACTGTCATAAATCACATTCTCCAATTAGCTTGAAGCACGGGCTTTCTCCCCAGCTCTCCAGCCTGCCAAATCTTTATCAACTCTGGACTCAATAACCTTGGATTCCCATGGCTGAGTTATTATTGTTCTGACTAACTGGACTCTCATCCACATCCCCCCTCCCAGCATCAACTAGCTCTACAAGCGAAAGTGTAAAATGGCTGCATTTCCATCTGTTGTCAAAGCAAGAACATCTGATGTTAGCAGCGTTGACACAGGAGTTTTTTGTTAAATATATTTTTCTTTTAATATCCACATGCAAAAAACCTTGCAGGTTTAGAATAGTATATTATCTCACTAATGCAGATTTTCTCTCATGCCACATACAGATTTAAAGATTATAATAAATAAGTTAAAAAGGAGGAACAGGCCTACAAACCTGATCATAGGTCAAGGGAGGAAAATCTTCTCCACAGACAGTTTTTTGTTCCTCATAACACTGTTCCTGTACTGATTTGTCTCTAGCCAAAAAGAAGCCAAGCCAAGTGCTAGTGGTTGAAGATGTATGCTGGCCTGCTAAGAGCAATCCAATAAGCATCCCACCAATTTCATCATCTGTTAGCGGTCGTCCGTCTCTGAATTTCAAGATATAGATAGCACACCAGAATGAGAAGGACAATCCCCATTTTTTTTTTCAATCCTCTTGACAAAAATCCACAATATTTTACAATATAGAATTTTAGCATAGATGCCAGTATTAATAAAGTATTTGTCTTGCCATTTCTATATTGCCATTTCAACTTAAGGAGCTTACAAATTTAAAATACAGGACTAAGAGTAATAAGACATAACAGTCTTCTTCCTAAATGTCTTAACAAGTCTTTCTAAACATTGATTTATTTAAATATCATTTTACAATAAAGCTTCTAAGTACTACTATGCCTATACAGAAAATCTTTTCAAAATTTTTCAGCATGGATCAAAGTTTGCCTTTTATAGAAATTTGGCTCCTAGCAACAAATAATTCCTGAATTTATAAGATAAATACTTTACGACAGGGGTGGGCCATGTGTGGTTCTCTAAATTCAACTTCCATCAGATTTAGACAATATGCTAGTGATGAGAGATGATAGTAGTATAGGTTTAAAATCTGTATTATGTATTGTCTGCACTTGATGGGACAAGTGGTCACAGTTTAATACGTGTGGAGCCGAGACTAAATCTGATTTAACAATGGTTTCTTGAATAAAGCACTGTACACTAAGCTACGTCCCCGCAAATTTCTTATGGTATCTGTGATTCCCCACCACATAATAGTTTTCTCACTGAAAATTAAATGTATTAGAGATTATTAACTTTTCTGTTTTCAATTCAATGCTGCTTTCTTCTCCTGCACAACAAACTACATTTCAAAATTGTTCTTTCATTTTATAAATTAAAGTTCTGAATCTTATCCTGATTTCTGATCTATTGCACAAATTTTTACACAGTTCTGTTTTTATTCCCATTAGGATTATAGTAATCCTTATCCAAGTGCTATAACAATTTCACATACTTGTAAGTAACATCCAGTAGTGTTTGCAACATGTCATCTTCTCTCGTAGAAGATTGTCTTCGTTTCTGAATTACTTTATAGAAAATAGATTTTAGTTTACAATGGGCTCTATCTCTGCATCTAAAAGTAAAAACAAGTTGTAAAAATGAAAGACTTGGATTTTGCAGATATTTTTGAATGTTTAATTGCCCCTTAAGTTATTTTTTTAGCCCTAGACAAAAGATATGTCCAATTTTAAAAAGAGCTATTGTAGTGCATTGCCAAAACCTGACAATTTACTGAAAGCAATCCATTGCCCAGTCTGCAATTCCCAACTTGGTTCAGAATTGTTTTTCTTTTGCATTTAAAGAACTGACCCAGTACACCTCATTTGGCATTTGAAGTCATTGCCTGCACTCTGTAACTTACAATAGACATAAGCAGGCCAAATAAAACCAAACAGTTTTTTGAGAATCAGTTTTTGGTTAAGCTGCTGGCCTAGAAATCAGGACACTGAGTTCTAGTCCTGCCTTAGGCATCAAAATTGGCTAGGCCAGTCATTCTAAGCCCAGCCCATGTCACAGAAAATAAGAGGAAGGAATGTTAAGTATGTTTGCATATATGGGAAAAAAGGGATTATTTTTAAAAAAACAACATCTCATCAAATTGCTTTTTCTGAAGGTTTCTATACATTTTAGCTGCTCTTTCTATTACTCAATTGCATCTAATATTTGCTCTAGATCAGGGGTCCCCAATCCCGGTCCGTAGACCGACACTGGGCTGCAGCATGCCAGAAACTGGGCCACGCAAACAAGCAAAGGCCCATCTGCGGGATGCAGGGAGTACATGAAACCACGCTCTCTCCACAGATGGCTTATCTGTGAGTATATATGGTACTTGAAAAACAAGTTTCTAGGATTTGATGGGGCAAAACTGAAAGTAATTTGCAATTCAACTAGGGAAGATTGGATTCTGTGGTGAAGTTCAGTGGAAAACCCGTAACATATTAATGATTTTAAAAAATAGTAATAAGTGTTAGCCTTATAAGACAATCTCATCACAAACCAGTAACCAGGATTACTAGCTCTTATTTTGATCACAGCATTAACAGACTTATTGCAAGTCTGAAAATAGTCCTCTCATCCCTCACTTTTACTCTTTCAATTTCTTGCAGAGAGTCTCCCTTGAGACATTTTTCTCATCTCTCCTCCTTTGGTCTAAACTTTCATTTATCAGACCACTGAATAAGCTACAGCTATTCATCCTGTCTTCAAGGTCATTCCCACCTACCATTACATTTGATTAATACGATTCTTGGCTGATCAAGCTGTTAAATACCTGAAGCTGGGCAAAGGCAGCCACCCTGGTAAGAGCCATGCAGCATGACTAAATCCCCCGTCCAAATCAGCATAGAGCTGTGCTACTTTCTCATTGAGAATGCTTCTTATTTCCTTCCCATGTAAACAATGGCTTGCAGTCAAAATGATTAGTTCTGAAAGTGCTTCAAGTAAATCTGTGAAATTTAACAAGGATTTTAAAAAAATAGTGTTACTATTTCCAGTCCACTTTTAAAATTAGAAAAATTAAGAGGAACACAAAAAGATCAATCTAAATGTTTATGATTCCTTGGTAGGTATTTTGAGATAGAAAGAAAAAAGATGTTTTGGAGCAGGGCAGAGGATGGGGAGAGAAGGGATAAGTTGATTTTTTTTCCTTGTCCATCCCTCATTGTCAAAGAATAGCCATCCCCCCCCCCAAACAAAACTTTATCACCACTGAAGCTTGCACTTTAGTTCTGATAAGATCAGTAAAGTAAATTATGTACACTGAAACTGAAAACATCACAGGCAAACTCCTTCAGCCAAAGTCTGCATTCTATCTAATAGAGAATGCCAAGGGCCAATCCAAAACCTTCACACTCAATCACACAATAGAAGCTCAATAGCATTCAGGACCAGCCCTCGTATAAGCCATGAACAGCCATCAAAAAGCAGATAATACATTTATTTATTAATTTGTATCTGTCAAATTTATACACATGAGTTCCATCTGCTAGTCACATGATCTCAACTGAATTTTACCAAGTTTCTGCAAGACAGCTAGTACCATCTCCCACAAATAATGAAGCAAGAAAACAACTACCAGAATTTCCTGGGGTTTGGAATTGATATAATTATTAAAATTATCACTGAGGTGGTTTTTTTTGGCATGGTATATATTTTCTACGTAAGATAGCACATCTGCCTTCCTTGGTTTGAACATAGTAAATCTTATAGTCCAAATGTAAATCTTTTCAAATTGTATACTTACTTCTTTTTCCTTCATCTCCCCAACTTTTAAAGTATTCTATAGTCTCTTTCTCAATTATTGATATATGATTTTTAAATTGACTTATGTTCAGACCAGTTTTTAGCATCTTCTTCTGTTCCAAAAATACCTTAAAAATAAAAATAATATTAATTTCAAAACAAAATACTTTGCTTATACTAGCCTTCCTCAAACGGTGTCTTCCAGGACACTAGAATCTAGATTCCCAGAATAACAAGCTAGAATTTGTTCTGTATTGCAAAGCCCCAAAACAAAGAAAGATCAACCAAATTAATGATCTTTACCTTTTTCCAAGGCCAAATTTTCTTGATCTACTGCTCTGGCAAATAACATAACATTTGTCACCCCTCCCAGGTAAATCAAACTGGAAACATGATTCAATAAACTCACTCTACTTTATTGTAAGGCTACATTATCAGAATCTCACAAGTTTGAAGATCCAAAATTCCTTCCACTATTTTTTAACTGCCTGATCAATTAGACGGGTCCTTTCTAAGTTTCTTTTTCTGACTATTAAGCTGCTTTGGGCTCCTCCCTCTCATTTGATTGAATCCTAAATTGCATCTCTTCCACTCATCCCTCAAAATCATCCAAATATCCCATTACTTTAATTGAAGGTATAAGCCAGTGATGGCGAACATTTTAGAGACCAAGTGCCCAAACTGCAACCCAAAACCCACTTATGTATCATCGGGTGACAGGTGGGCATGGCCCATTGGGTGGGTGTGGCCAATATGGTAGGCGTGGCTGAGTGGTAACGGCAGACTGGGTGGGACTAAAAAGTTCAATCAATCAATTCCAACTTTGCAAGATCTTTTTTTTCCCGGAAGAAGTTGAAATTGATTGGCAGAGGCCTAAAGCGAAAAGGTTTTATAAAACCCAGCTGAAGGCCTAGGACTGGGGCGATGGTGCGCGTGTCCACAGAGAGAGCTCTGTGTGCCACCTGTGTGTTCACCTGTGTGTTCACCATCACGGGTATAAGCTATGCCCTTGAACGGGCAGTCAGAAGATGAAAGCTACACTCTCATCACAAATCCAGCCTAGTTACTAACTTTTTTCCAAATGGAGCTCTTTGTCAACAGTACACTTTTATAATCAGAGATCGTTAAGAGAAATGTTCTTTTATAATTAAACCTAATCTGTTATGTCAGTTTTTACATTCTATTTATATGATTCAGTACTGAAATCTAACTAAACTAATAATTCATGTAACAATATACATACTGCATTGGGTACATCATAAGCTACTCCCTTGCCAAAAACAGGAGTAGTTAGCCGTGAATACACTTCTTCTGCATTCAACTCTTCGTTTTTACTATTGAACAACAGAGCAGCTGCATCACTGCCTAGGAGATAGGTGAAGGTCTTTCCCACCATAGTGAAGCTAAATACAGGCCCATACTGCAAGGAAAAAATTGAATAGTTAGAAAATAACAAAAGAAAAACAGAAGTGTATAACAATGGCATTTTAGCATAATTGCATGAGAGTGACAAATACATAAAATACATGTGACAAAAAAACATGATCAAATAGTGATGCTAACACTACCTCCTCAATTAATTAATCATGTATTAGTAAGTGGAAGGGTTCCCCCAACTTGACAAGTAACCAAGCTAAGTATCAAAATGCTCCTTGCTTTAATTAAAATGTGTACCTGTAGACTATTTGGTGCCTACTTCATTCTTTTTCATCTTGTCAATAAAATACTAATTTCACATATTCTTATTTTACTTAAATTATAGTTTAGATCAGTGTTTTTCAAACTCACTAACTTTAAGATATGTGGACTTCAACTTCCTTGCTGGCTGAATATTCACGTTCTTAACAGATTCTTGTTAGACTATATCCTTACTTCTTGTTTCCCCTCTCTCTTTCTGTAATGTCCTATACCCTTCCAGCTATCCATCACAACAGTTCCCTTTTCATGGGCACCATATCTCACAAAAACACTGATTTAGATCCTGTAGTATAGGATCTTCAGTGATCATTATAGAAAGCGGCTAAGAGGGCCTTCAAGAGAAGCTTGCTCAACCTGGAACCCCATATTGAGCACCTAAGATTTTCCAAGCTAGGTGACTTTGGGACATGTTTCAGGGTATCGGGCAGCATGTACCAGAGACAGTGAGCCTGTAGACTGGGCAACCATTATCTGCAGTGCATGCCAATGGAAGACAACCTGCAGCAGTTACAAAAGGAAAATGGTATATGCCCGTGGTGGCGAACCTATGGCACGCGTGCCACAGGTGGCACGCAGAGCCATCTCTGATGGCACGCGAGCCATTGCTGCTTCCCTCCTCTTTGCGCATGCGCAGCTTTTTTACGCTCACTAAAGTAAGGAAGTTTCGATTTCGGTTTTCAGAACACGCGGCAGAAAGCGAGCAAGAGAACCAGCAAAAGCGGTAAGTTTTGCCTCACCTCAGCCCTGCCTCGTCTCTGGCCTGCTGCTGAGCTTCCTCCGCTTGGCTGCAGCGGAGGAGGCAGCGGCGGCCACCGGCCTCCCCAGCGGCTCCAAAACACCCCGCGGCCACCGGCATTTCTTGCCATTTCGCACCCGGCTCCCCTCGCACAGCTCACCCCGCACCGTCTCCAGCCCGCCGCTGACCGCGGCGGACGAGGCGGCGATCACCGGGGGAGGCCGAGGCCGAAGAGCCCGGCCTAGCGGCTCCAAAACACCCCGCAGCCGCCGGCATTTCTTGCCGTTTCGCACCCGGCTCCCCTCGCGCAGCTCGCCCCGCGCCGTCTCCAGCCCGCCGCTGACTGCAGCGGACGAGGCGGCGATCACCGGGGGAGGCCGAGGCCGAAGAGCCCGGCCTAGCGGCTCCAAAACACCCCGCGGCCGCCGGCATTTCTNGTAAGACCAGAAAAGGTGGTTTCAATTACAAGTGATGGAGCACCTTCTATGGTGGGGGCAACATCTGGTTTCATACAGTTGTTTCTTCAAGAAACAAAACATAAAGTAATTCAATTCCACTGCATCATTCACCAGGAAGCTCTTTGTGCCAAGGAAAGCAACAAAAAATTTGACAATGTCCTCAAAGACGTCACAAAAATAGTGAATTACATCATGGCTCGTGCTCTGAATTGTCGGCAGTTTCAAGTACTACTTGAGGAGGTTCAGGCACAGTATGATTGTTTGTTTATGTATAACAATGTCCGTTGGCTGAGCAGAGGACGAGTCCTGGAGAGATTTGTGGCCTGCTTGGATGAAATTCGGCTGTTTATGAATGAAAAAGGGCAAGAATATCCACAGCTCACTGATATGGCCTGGCTTACCAACCTCATGTTTTTTACAGACTTTACACACCACTTCAATCTGCTCAACAAACAATTACAAGGTGCAGGGAAAACAGCAGAAAGGATGTTTTGTGACATCAAAACATTTGAGAGAAAACTGGAGATTTTTGAAAGAGACCTTGAAAGTGGGCAGCTGAAATATTTTCCTACTCTAAAAGTTCATTTAGAAAATTCTACATCATTTGCAGACAATCCTACAAGCCACCAGGAAATTTACATAGAATTTTCTGGCATTGTAGGAACTGCAAAGGTAAATTTTAGTAACAGATTTTCACAGTTCCGCAAGATGGAGACAACCCTGTGTTTTCTTACTTCTCCAGATAAAGTCAAATATGAAGAACTTGATCTTTCCTGCTTAGAGTGGTTAGATTTAGGAAATCTAGAAATGGAGCTATTGGAATTTCAGGAAAATACTATCTGGAAAAATAAATTCTGTGACTTGCGTGAAACACTAGAGAAGATGGAAAGGATGACAAAGGACAGCACAGTTAGTGCTGAGAACGAAATCCTCAAAGTGTGGAATTTTCTGCCAGATAATTTTAAATCCATGAAAGGACTTGGCATTGCTTTCCTTACTTTGTTTGGATCATCTTATGCCTGTGAGCAGTTGTTTTCAGCTTTGAATTATATAAAATCGGACACCAGAAGCAGACTAACAGATGACCTGAGTGCTGCATGTGTTGCTCTCAAAATTACAGACTATGAGCCAAGGATAGATAAGTTATCAGCAGGCATACAACAGCAAAAATCACATTAATTCTTTAAAAGCATGCCACAGGGTGTAATAAGTTGGGGGTTTGTAGTCACCGAGTTGGGGGGGGCACAGAGGGAGGCTC